CTTCTTCACCTTCTCTTGCCTTTTTATCCAGCTGTTTTCTCTCATCTTTGACATAACTTTTGTCTCTCTAGATCAGGGGTAGGCAACCTATGACACATGTGCCAAAGGCAGCACACAAGCTTATTTTCAGTAGCACTCACACTGCCCGGATCCTGGCCACCGGTCCGGGGGGCTCTGCAGTTTAATTTAATTTTAAATGAAGCTTCTTAAACAGTTTAAAAACCTTATTTACTTTACATACAATAGTTTAGTTATATATTATAGATTTATAGAAAGCGACCTTCTAAAAACATATTACTAGCATGTGAAACCTTAAATTAGAGTGAATAAATGATGACTCGGCATACCACTTCTGAATGGTTGCCGACCCCCGCTCTAGATAGTGCCGTTGCACTGTTGGTTGTTTTTTCTTGTTGTGTCACCTACCCTGGCCTTTCTTTTAAGGCTTTTCTTTCCTCAGTCAGTTTCTATGTGTGTGGCTGTATCCATACTTCTTGATTCTCTTGATCCAAGTGAATTTGGGGTGGCTTCCAGCAAATAACTCTAAAGCAAGCCTATTGTTCCTCTATATCCTTCAACACTGGAGGATAATTAATTTATCATTATTTGTAACAAAGCATGCTCTTATAATTTGAGTCGACTAATTCCCATTCCACTAGAGTTGGTGTTGTCGAGGATTATTCAACTCCCTCCACGTGAATGTCATCTTGCCTGCTTGAGTAGGGTACTGAATACGGTCTGAATGGAGTTTTCCTCATCCAGTCCAATTTTAGAAGCAGAAATAGAGAAAGCAATTAAGCAGCTACAATATGGCAAACAATAATACATCCTGCAATGGGAGTATGCAGAAAAAGTTAGAAGTAAAGAAGTTTTATCCGAAAGATGAAAGAATAGCTTGACAAAAAAAAAGCGAGACAAGCCAAAGAAGCATAAATGAGAGGCAACTCCAAGAAATTGTTCCCGGTATGTAAGCAGTTACCATCATGATTCCAAAGTCACAGTGGTGTCTGTCACAGTTCAGGGCAGTTGCACCTATATTCCCCCTCCATGGTCCAGCAAGGACACCCACTCTCAGACGTCCAGTTCTCCAGCCATCACCTTTGTTGGGCAGAGACCCACATATCTCTCCCTGCTTACTGAGATTTTTTCCAGGCTGCACAGTTCCCTGACTACACCATGTTATTCCCCAGCAAAGAAGACTCACTAAACAGGATGCCTCTGTGCTTTGCTTACTCTTCAAAGGCTACAAATAGTGTAATTGCCACAGTTCATTTACCACATAGTTCTTTATAAGCAAGCACACTTATTCTTATAGTAAAAACGTTACAGAGAAAACATATTAAAACCAATAAAAGAACCTACGCACATACTACTAAGCTTACCTGAGATTGCCCCGTGATTCCAACAAGGGCTGTGGCTGGTGAACAATCCTTTAAACCCTTCCAAGAATCTTTCCTGTGATTACATCATAACCACTTTGGCTCAGAACAAGTACACTTTTGAATCTGAGTCACTTATTTATCCATTTTGGTCTTCGAGGAGACTGTATAATAGGTAATCAGCTAGACAATGGGTTTTCTCCTCAAGGCACACCTTCAAAAGGATGGATCTGGATATTAATTTTTAATACAGTTTGGGAAAAAACTTTGCCTAGAGGATTGGAAGAAAGGTGTGATCAGTAAAATATTACAAGAAGAAGTGGTATACGATAACTTATGAGGAATAACATTATTTTCAGTACCCAGAAAAGTGTTTTGCAGTATGCTGTGGAACAGAGTCAAACTGGACATAGATGAAAAACTGTGTAATGAGCAAGCAGGCTTTAGACCAGAAAAATTGTGTGTAGATCACATCTTTATCCTGAGACGATTGATTGAGAAAGGGCTCTCCTATGATAGAAAATTAGTCTTGAAATTCATAGATTTCACGAAGGCTTTTGAATGCATTCATAGAGAGTTGCTGAGGAAGATCTTGCAACAAGTTTCCTAGCAAGTGTTGCTGATCAAGATGCTTTATGAAGGTCAAAATGCTGTGTGAGAGAGAGAAAGACAGAGGCCAATTGGTTTGATATCCTCACTGGAGTGCGGCATTTTAGTACCCTTTCTTTACTGCATTATGATAGAGCAACATCAAAGGAAGATACAGGAGTTATGTGGAGTAGAAGAAAACTTTAAGCTCTTGAATTTGCTTATGACATGTTGGACATGGATTATGATGCCATGAAAATGATAACTACCAATGTTAAAAGTAAGGGTGCTAAAGTAGGATTAAGAATAAGCCAAAAGAAAATGCAAGTCATGATTGTTGAAAGAGGAGTCAGCATTGATGGTGCTTATGTGATTGATAGTGAAGACTACAGGATTAATAATGATTTTGTATATCTTGGAAGCACAGTTAGTGTTGAGTGCCAACTCTGTAAGGAGGTGTAAGCAAAAATTGTGAAGATAAGTAGAGCTTTTTTGTGACTGGCAAATATTTGGAAAAACAGGGAGACTCACACAAGAACAGGGGTGAAAGTAACTTATAGGACTTAACGGTACGCCGGAGTCCTGAGCGGGGCGTGGCTTCAACCGGAAGAGGCGGGGCCTCAACTGGAAGAGGTGGGGCCTTTCAAGATTTAAAGGCCCTGGGGCTCCGGCTGTGGCTGGGAGCCCCAGAGCCTTTAAATCACCCCGGAACTACCAGCTGCAGAGGCAGCTGGGAGCTCCAGTGGTGCTTTAAAGGGCCTGGGGATCCCCGCAGCGGCCGGAGCTCTGTGCCCTTTAAATCCCTGTCCGAGCCCAGCTGCCAGAGCTCCAGCAGTGCTTTAAATGGCCCAGGGCTCCCCACAGCAGCTGGAGCCCTGGGCCCGTTAAATCACCGCCGCAGAAGCTGGTCCAGTCCGGCACGGTGCACTGGCTCTTGCCGGTACGCCGTACCGGCTTACTTTCACCTCTGCACAAGAACCAAAATAAAATGGTACAATGTTATTATGATACCAGTATTGTTATATGCTTTTGAAACTGGACAAACAGCAGAAGCCCATAACAGGAAACTTGATGTATTCCAACATAGATGCTTGCTGAGAATACTTGGTGTCTATTGGTGGAATAAATAGTTACTAATGCTGATGTAAAGACAATGATTTGAGAAAGAAGGTTGAAGTGGTTTGGGCATATTGTACAGATGTAAAAAAAACCTTATTTCTAGACAAACCCATGACACATTATCACTTGGTGGAAGATGAAAAAGAGGAGGAGAACATGACATCATAAAACCATTGAGAAAGATGTCTTTGTCATGGAAGTAGACTACAATGGAGCAAGAAACATGGCACTAGATGGAGATGGAAACACAGGTTGCCTCATGTGTGACAAGGCATGAAAGCATCTAATATAATTTTCCCCATTAGGAATATACTGCTTTTGTTATCTATAACAAGGACAATTTTAGTTTCTTCATTTGATTACAGAGTAATTGTTTTTTTTCCTATGTATGCCTTTAAATTAATTTTTATTGGAATATTTGAATATAAAAAGCTTATTATGTAAATTTTCACAAAGAGTGTAAATAAATTACATATGAAATGTTGATCTGTTTCCACACCACAGAGTTGGAATGAGGAGAGGATCTTTTTAATTTGTTTTTTTTAATTGAAAACATTTTATTAATATCTGTACATATAAAATATATTTGTGAATATGCAATAATACTTTAGAAGATAAAATTCTGAGAGCGAATAGAAAAAAATGGGAATTATTGGAGAACAGTAGCATCACAGTACAATAGGGAAATTATATTTGTTTAGCAAATTGCATATAGTTTTCAGCACATAGTATTACTCTGCCTCTCTTAGATCATTTTGTATGTGTAGAATTGTAACTTTTAATTGTTTTAAATGTGAAGTCTGGCATATTTTTCCTGTGGTTGTAGGTCAATATGATTATATAAATGATTGTGGTAAAACATATTTGAGAGACTTGATGCTATTTATGAAACTAGAGCTAAACAATTCCCCCAAACTGTGATCTTTCACACTACATTCTTTTTTCGGAATAGGAAAATCATGAGGACATTCTTAATTCAGACTTTCATAGTGTAGTGCTTCTTACCCAAAAGCATTTGTGGGATGCAGGAGTTACTGTTAGAAGTGAATGCAAAAGTGTTGTTCACATCATTATTTCAGAATGTATTAATCCAGGAACATTATAGCATAGTAACCAGCAGCCTTGATATCAACTTTTGTAAAATGCTTTAATTTGTACTCAGAGGCAAATCCTATTGCTAGGCTGTAGTGGGTATTTATATATTGAATAATAATGGAAACACTAGCTATCAGTAGGCAAGTAGCCTGGAGACAGATCTTGAGTAGCCTAAACTCCTGCCTGAGCAGTGAGTCACTCTTTGCCCCTTTCAAACCTAAAAGCCAAAGCATACAAATTCTTACTCATGCAAGTAGTGTTGTTCACATAAGAAATCCTAAAGCACTCAAAGGAACTATTCCTAGTGTAGAGGTTGCAGGCTCATGACCATACATCACTTGGTCATGACCATAACCCTGCCACAAAGACAGTGGGCTGGTCACAGAGTGTCTGCCTTATTACTTGAAGATAGGCTATTGTTACTGTTAATCCAAAGGTTCTCGAATTTTTTCATACAATGGACCACATTTTTATGAACATATTGTCATGGAGCATCTCTTTTTCCTTCCGTGATTGCATGGGCCACTCCCTTTCCCTCCCAACAATATAGCAACTACAACAATTGTTTACATAGAAAAATAATATTCGAAAGCATATAATGTTTTTTAACTCTCTGTACCATAATTTGGGAACCTTTCGTTCTGGTCACTTTATAATCTAAAACTAAACTCTTCAGGATCATTTTTTTTTTTTTTGCGTATATTTTAAGTAGATAAAGAAGCAACTTTTTCTTCAGTGAAGTAAAATACTCCAAAATAAGTTTGGTAGTATAATTTAGAGTATAAGTTTTAAACCTAATTTTATGTTTTCTGTTCCCAGGGGCAGTGATTGTTTCCACTCCACAAGACATTGCTTTACTGGATGCACGCAAAGGAGCTGAGATGTTTCGAAAAGTCCATGTGCCTGTAAGCATTTAGAAAGAAATATATTGAATTCTTCCAAAAAGTGAAACATTTCTAAATTGTGGAGACAGGTGAATTTTTTAAATGAACTACTGAATTTCACAAATTCTGTTTCGGTAAAACACTTAAAAACTAGTATATTTCTCTAGCCTGTGATATAAAGGCAGAAGCCTGCTTGCTTGCTTTAACAGGATGATGGAAAGAATCTGTTTTAGAATTTAATTGAGATCATGATACCACTTGATGTTCTCAAATAAAATGACCTTATAGTCCCAAATCGACTGGATTATAAATCAGCCTTCTGTCTATGTTACATATCCTGACCAACTTGATTGCCTTCTAAGATGAGATAACTGGCTCTGTGGATATGGGGAAAGCAGTGGACATGACTTTAGCAAAGTTTTTGATACGGTCTCCAACAGTATTCTTGCCAGCAAGTTAAAGAAGTATGGACTGGATGAATGGACTGTAAGGCGGATAGAAAGCTGGCTAGATTGTCAGGCTCAACAGGTAGTGATCAACAGGTAGGCTTGATGCCTAGTTGGCAGCCGGTATCAAGCAGAGTGCCGCAGGGGTCAATCCTGGGGCTGGTTTCGTTCAACATCTTCATTAATGATCTGGATGACGGGATGGATTGCACCCTCAGCAAGTTCATGGATGACACTAAGCTGGGGGGAGAGGTAGATATGCTGGAGGGTAGGGACCTAGACAAATTAGAGGATTGGGCCAAAAGAAATCTAATGAGGTTCAACAAGGACAAGTGCAGAGTCCTGCACTTAGGATGGAAGAATCCCATGCACTGTTACAGGCTGGGGACCAACTGGCTAAGCGGCAATTCTGAAGAAAAGGACCTGGGGATTACAGTGACGAGAAGCTGGATATGAGTCAACAATGTGCCCTTGTTGCCAAGAAAGATAATGGCATATTGGGCTGCATAAGTAGGAGCGTTGCCAGCAGATCGAGGGAAGTGATTATTCCCCTCTATTCGGCATTGGTGAGGCCACAACTGGAGTATTGTGTCCCCTTTTGGGCCCCTCACTACAGAAAGGATGTGGACAAATTGGAGAGAGTCCAGTGGAGGGCAGCGAAAATGATTAGGGGGCTGGGGCACATGATTTATGAGGAGAGGCTGAGGGAACTGGGCTTATTTAGTCTGAAGAGAAGAGTGGGGGAGGGGTATTTGATAGCAGCCTTCAACTACCTGAAGGGGGTTTCCAAAAAGGATGGAGCTCGGCTAATCTCAGTGGGGGACAGATGACAGAACAAGGAGCAATGGTCTCAAGTTTCAGTGGGAGAGATCTAGGTTGGATGTTAGGAAACACTATTTCACTAGGAGGGTGGTGAAGCACTGGAATGGGTTACCTAGGGAGGTGGTGGAATCTCCATCCTTAGAGGTTTTTAAGACCCGGTTTGACAAAGCCCTGGCTGGGATGATTTAGTTGATGTTGGTCCTGCTTTGAGCAGGGGTTGGACTAGATGACCTCCTGAGGTCTCTTCCAATCCTAATCTTCTATGATTCTATGATTCATGACTCAGCTTTGCAGCAGGTCACTGTATAGTCCTCCCCTTTCCAGACAGTCTTCTGCTCCAAGATCAGATCCTGTGCCACTTCCCCAGTGTCTGGTAGGGTACCCCAGGCCTGCCCACTACTCCAGGTTCCAGTCCAGGTACCTTCTGTTTAGTAACTATGGTTTGCTTGCTCCAAATAGCTTGTCAGTATTTCCCTGGACTCCTCCTTCTCTCTGTGACGTCTTCCCAGAAACTGTACCCCCCAAACATCCGTCCCTTGTTCCAGGGGAGTGACTGTAGCCCTCTTCCCCTGCAGCCCTTTTCTGGTCTTGCTTTGCAAGTTCAGCCTGCCCCTGCCCAGCTGGGCTTCATCATCAATTAGCCTTCAGTCCCTGGTTCTCCCCCAAGTGCAGCCTATCAGGTTAATTGTCCTAACGGCCTCCTCTGCCTTGTGTGGGGTGGATACCCCATCACAAGCTTGTTACTGCTTGACATGATGAGGATGTCATTTCTGTGGCATGGAGCAGCCTTCAGTCTGCTGTGATCACCTTCAGGCTGGTCCCAAAGTAAAACATGACAAATTCTAGGTCTCTATTAAAAGTCTGTGTTCCCCCAAACATTAGCTGTTCTAAGATGAATATGATAGTTCAGTGTGTACAGTGTTGTTTATTTAATATTTATTTTGCTATTGTGTCCAGAGTCCTCAGTCAGAATATTGTGAGGGCTGATGTACAAACACACATAGGAGGACATGATTCGTGCCTCAAGGAGTATATACTCTAAGGGATTTTCCACCCAAATGAAGATTTAATAGTGCTTTTTCTGGCACCCATGCTCCTGAGCCAAAGAACAAGTATATTGTCAGGGCTGTATCCCCACTTTGAACTTTAGGGTACAAATGTAGGGGCCTGCATGAAAACTTCTAAGCTTAATTACCAGCTTAGCTCTGGTCCGCTGCCACCATCCCCAATGGATTCCCTCCCTGGGAAGCCTTGAGAAACCTTTCACCAATTCCCTGGTGAATACAGATCCAAACCCCTGGGATCTAAAACAAGGAGAAATTAACCATTCCCCTCCTTCCTCCCACCAACTCCTAGTGAATACAGTTCCAACCCCCCTGGGATCTAAAACAAGGAGAAATTAACCATTCCCCCTCCTTCCTCCCACCAACTCCTGGTGAATACAGATCCAAACCCCTGGGATCTAAAACAAGGAGAAATTAACCATTCCCCCTCCTTCCTCCCACCAACTCCTGGTGAATACAGATCCAACCCCCTGGGATCTAAAACAAGGAGAAATTAACCATTCCC